CCCCCGGGGGTGGGGTCGCCCACCCAACGGAGCCCTCTCGGGCCTCCCCTGGGCATCTCTCTGCTGTGTGGCCGGAGCTGACCAGAGTGGAGTAGCCTTCAGGCCGGACGGCGCGAGTGGACACCCTCCCCATTGAGACCTGCCCCGGACACCCAGACACACCGCCCGGCCCGGCCCGCTGGCCCCAGGCGGCCAGGCGCCCACGCTGCCTTCTGGGGAGGGCCCCGCGTGTAACAGCGCAGGGGAGCGGCCGGGGAGTTTCGGCAGGGGTGGGGCAGAGCCCCCTGGAGAGGTGACGCCAGGCAGTCCTGCCCCTGGAGGACCGAGCTTGACAAGGAACAGAAAGGAGGGTGGTGGCCACGGCGGGGGGCTGGGGCAGGTGGGGGGGCGCATGGTCATATTTCAGACTTTTGCTCTTGGGGAGCTCTGCTGGACATTGTCAGTGTCCTCCAGGCCACCAGGTCAAGGTTGCCATGTCCGGGTGGGTCGACTGAGCCTGGAGGGGTGGGCGCTGTGGGCGGGGGCAGCAGCCAGGACTGGTAGGAGTGGGGCTGACAGAAGAGCCCCCCACCCAGGCCTGAGCCCTGGTCTCCCTCCACCCTCTACTGTGACTCACTGTCACCCCTGAATGTCCAGAGCCCAGCCCTTCTCTCCAGATCCACTGCCCCCTCCACTGGTCTGGGTCACACCCTTTCAGCCCCGGGCCAGTCTGTTGGCACTTCTCACTGAGGTCACCATGAACTTCTAAAATGCTCTTCAGGCTGTGTGCAGGGTGGGGTTCATGCTTTGAATCAGCAAGCAGGGCGTGGCCTGCAACTTGGAAAGGTTGAGGTTGCAGGTGGACCCCTCCTGGAAAACATCCTGACCACCAAGGCCGGCCTGCCCATCCTGTGCACCCCAACATCTGCACGGTGTCTCTGCCCTTCACTGGCCCCCTGAAAGGGCAGCCCCTGGATTCCGTCACACTCCTCCCTCCACGAGGCCCCACCTGCTGGACCTGCAGCCCTTCCCCCACCTCCAACCTTCAGAGTGGAAGGGCAGGTTCTCACTCACTTCCCCATCTGCCCAGGGGGCCGGGGGGCAACGTGGCCTGTAGGGGTCCAATCTGCAAGCCAGGCCTCCAGTCCCTGCTTCAGGCTAAACACTCCCAGACAGCCCCTGCTTCCGCTTAGCGGGATCTTTCAGATTCCCTGACTAGCTGGGTCTCTGGGAAGGGGGGGAACTTGTGTGAACCACAGCACTGTCATGTCAGGGGTCCCTAGGCAGGGATGTCAGTTGTTTACCTAGTAGCCCTTCCTTGTGGGAGACACCCACCCTTGTTCCAAGTGGGTTGAATGGGGCTGCCCTCAGGGAGAGCAGCTTATGACCAAGGCCTCACCAACAGAGACTCCCCAGCCACAGGGATGTGCCCCATGTGGAGGAGACACAGGCTGGGGCTGCCTGCCACTAGCATCCCTGCTGCTGGAGGAAAAACCAGCATGTATTGGAAGTTCAGACGGGGGGGACCCAGACATGTGAACACCTGGATCCAGCCACATCTGAAGCTGGATCACCTCTACTTCCTTGTCATGGAGCCACCAAATCCCTTTTCTGCTTGGGTGGTACCCTTGGAGCACAGGGGCTCCCCCAGAGCAGGCCCTGTCTGTCTTGCTCACTGCCGAGTCCCTAGTGCCCAGCACAGTGCGTATCGAACAAGGGGCCCAACACACTGATGCTGTGTGCGCACACATGTGCGCCTGATGGGTGCAGGGTGACACGTCTCAGCTCCTGCGCTGCGCAGGACACAGGGACTGGGAAGAACCCCCCTTCCCCCATCACCAGATTCCCAGACAATCCCCTCCCTCCAGCATTAGCAAAGGTGCCACTTGCTCCCAGGTACAGGGCCCTTGAGCCCTACTTATCTCCTGAGTCATCCTGGGGCGGTTCATGGAACAGAGGAGCCCACGCAATGGCCCCACAGCCCTGAGCAGGACGCAAGGCCCTCTATGCCAGAGCCACCCCAGTGCCCAGTGGGGTCTGCATACAGTAGGGGCCTACTAAATGTGCACTGGGTGGGCCCTGCCTGGGAGGTACCCCCACCTCAGAAAGGAGGAAACAGGTCCCTGCGAGCTCAGGGTCCAGACAGCAGGCTGCCCACACCCACCCCCTGCTCCCATGGCTCCCGGCAGCTCAGCCCAAGATGGGGTTCAGGGGGATGTCATGGCCACCAGGGGCTGCCCCACTTCCCCACATGTGAGGCTGCCTCCGTGCACCCCTATGGACCCATAATCCACTCCAGGATCACTTTTAGGCCTGAGCTGCCCCAGCCCCGCTGCATGCCTGAGGCCTCACCTCCCAGCCCCTGACCATCCTATTCGGGGGGGTGGACTCAGCTCAGCCAATGGCTGTGGGTGATCTGCAGCCTCTACACAGGACACCGCAGGCCTGGCCCAGAGGAACCAGGGAGGTGGGGCACCTGAGGCCACCCAAGGCTCTCCTGAGGGTGAGATCCTAGGGCCAGTGTCTGGGGAGGTAGGCGGTGAGCAGGACCAGGACAGGCCCTGGGACAGGGGCAAGTGAGCAGGGACAGGAGACCTGCAGCCCTGTTAGGAACCCAGCCAGCCAGCAGAGTGAAAAAGACACTTGTATTTGATTTACAATAAACAAGATTTACAAAAGGGGTGGGGGTGTCCTGGCCGAGCTCCTCCTGGCCCCCCAGACCGGACAGAGCCTCCAGGACAGCCTGTCTGACAGGCCGAGGCCAGGACCCCCGGTCTGCTGGGTCTCCTCTGGCTGCCTGGGCCTCGACGTCTGACATCCAGCGTGACCTTTGAGGTGAGGCCCGGAGCGCAGTCTGCCCAATGTGCTGGTGCCCCGCGGAGCGGGCCAGGTGAGGTCAGGAAGGCATCGTACCACTATTCTCCTCTGTCAGGCAGGCAGTCTGGGCCCGAGGCCCTGGGGGCTGCAGGCACTCAGACCCCACCCAAAGAGGCCAAACCCACACCGGGCGGCTGCTGGTGCTCAGGAAGGGGGGGCTGAGGCCCGACTGCCCCTAGCGACACCGGGTGGCGCCGGGGGCGAAAGGCACGTTTACAAATAGCTCAGGGGACTCCACTCGGAGACAATGCCCGATGCTGGTTCTTCAGGAGGGGCTGGTGCTGGAGGGCGCCAGGCACTATTGCTCAGGAGAAAGACGCTATGTGGCTACCAACACTGAGGTGGGGTCCCCGCTGCACCCACACTCGCACTCCCCGGAGGGCTCTTCCTCTGCCGGCGGGAGAGAAGGGCTGTGCCCACCACCTCGGACTCCTTACCCAGGGGCTGCCCAATGCCGGCACTGGGCGTCACACACCTGTGCCACCAGACTATGGTGGCGGAGACCGGAGGTCAGAGGTCTGTGACCTTGTTCTCGAGTGCAGCGGCGATCTGCTGTAGGCGGAAAGCCAGCTGCATCTTCTGGGCAGCAGGGTCCTCCTCCAGGGCGTTGATGATCTGAGTGGGGGCGGGTCACGTCAGACCACAGGCGAGGAGAGGGCTGCCCAGGCGCTGCCACCCCGGGAGGGCAGGGCCTCCTACCTCGTCATAGTATTTCTGTGTGTACTGGTAGAGCTGGTGCAGGGCCACAAGGGTGTTCAGGGAGTCCGTGTGCGCCTGGGGAAGGAGGGCTGTGTGACCCAGGGCAGGGGAGGGCAGGAAGCTGTCCCCCCGCGGAGCAGGCAGTGGACTGTGACGTGGGCACAGGCAGACACTAAGGGTCACAGCCTCACAGCCCTCAGGTACACGGGGCAACCACCAACAGACTCCCCCGTCCACGCAGACGTGGCAGACGTGGCGGGCTCAGAGCTGACACAACCCCCAGCGNCCCCCGGGGGTGGGGTCGCCCACCCAACGGAGCCCTCTCGGGCCTCCCCTGGGCATCTCTCTGCTGTGTGGCCGGAGCTGACCAGAGTGGAGTAGCCTTCAGGCCGGACGGCGCGAGTGGACACCCTCCCCATTGAGACCTGCCCCGGACACCCAGACACACCGCCCGGCCCGGCCCGCTGGCCCCAGGCGGCCAGGCGCCCACGCTGCCTTCTGGGGAGGGCCCCGCGTGTAACAGCGCAGGGGAGCGGCCGGGGAGTTTCGGCAGGGGTGGGGCAGAGCCCCCTGGAGAGGTGACGCCAGGCAGTCCTGCCCCTGGAGGACCGAGCTTGACAAGGAACAGAAAGGAGGGTGGTGGCCACGGCGGGGGGCTGGGGCAGGTGGGGGGGCGCATGGTCATATTTCAGACTTTTGCTCTTGGGGAGCTCTGCTGGACATTGTCAGTGTCCTCCAGGCCACCAGGTCAAGGTTGCCATGTCCGGGTGGGTCGACTGAGCCTGGAGGGGTGGGCGCTGTGGGCGGGGGCAGCAGCCAGGACTGGTAGGAGTGGGGCTGACAGAAGAGCCCCCCACCCAGGCCTGAGCCCTGGTCTCCCTCCACCCTCTACTGTGACTCACTGTCACCCCTGAATGTCCAGAGCCCAGCCCTTCTCTCCAGATCCACTGCCCCCTCCACTGGTCTGGGTCACACCCTTTCAGCCCCGGGCCAGTCTGTTGGCACTTCTCACTGAGGTCACCATGAACTTCTAAAATGCTCTTCAGGCTGTGTGCAGGGTGGGGTTCATGCTTTGAATCAGCAAGCAGGGCGTGGCCTGCAACTTGGAAAGGTTGAGGTTGCAGGTGGACCCCTCCTGGAAAACATCCTGACCACCAAGGCCGGCCTGCCCATCCTGTGCACCCCAACATCTGCACGGTGTCTCTGCCCTTCACTGGCCCCCTGAAAGGGCAGCCCCTGGATTCCGTCACACTCCTCCCTCCACGAGGCCCCACCTGCTGGACCTGCAGCCCTTCCCCCACCTCCAACCTTCAGAGTGGAAGGGCAGGTTCTCACTCACTTCCCCATCTGCCCAGGGGGCCGGGGGGCAACGTGGCCTGTAGGGGTCCAATCTGCAAGCCAGGCCTCCAGTCCCTGCTTCAGGCTAAACACTCCCAGACAGCCCCTGCTTCCGCTTAGCGGGATCTTTCAGATTCCCTGACTAGCTGGGTCTCTGGGAAGGGGGGGAACTTGTGTGAACCACAGCACTGTCATGTCAGGGGTCCCTAGGCAGGGATGTCAGTTGTTTACCTAGTAGCCCTTCCTTGTGGGAGACACCCACCCTTGTTCCAAGTGGGTTGAATGGGGCTGCCCTCAGGGAGAGCAGCTTATGACCAAGGCCTCACCAACAGAGACTCCCCAGCCACAGGGATGTGCCCCATGTGGAGGAGACACAGGCTGGGGCTGCCTGCCACTAGCATCCCTGCTGCTGGAGGAAAAACCAGCATGTATTGGAAGTTCAGACGGGGGGGACCCAGACATGTGAACACCTGGATCCAGCCACATCTGAAGCTGGATCACCTCTACTTCCTTGTCATGGAGCCACCAAATCCCTTTTCTGCTTGGGTGGTACCCTTGGAGCACAGGGGCTCCCCCAGAGCAGGCCCTGTCTGTCTTGCTCACTGCCGAGTCCCTAGTGCCCAGCACAGTGCGTATCGAACAAGGGGCCTAACACACTGATGCTGTGTGTGCACACATGTGCGCCTGATGGGTGCAGGGTGACACGTCTCAGCTCCTGCGCTGCGCAGGACACAGGGACTGGGAAGAACCCCCCTTCCCCCATCACCAGATTCCCAGACAATCCCCTCCCTCCAGCATTAGCAAAGGTGCCACTTGCTCCCAGGTACAGGGCCCTTGAGCCCTACTTATCTCCTGAGTCATCCTGGGGCGGTTCATGGAACAGAGGAGCCCACGCAATGGCCCCACAGCCCTGAGCAGGACGCAAGGCCCTCTATGCCAGAGCCACCCCAGTGCCCAGTGGGGTCTGCATACAGTAGGGGCCTACTAAATGTGCACTGGGTGGGCCCTGCCTGGGAGGTACCCCCACCTCAGAAAGGAGGAAACAGGTCCCTGCGAGCTCAGGGTCCAGACAGCAGGCTGCCCACACCCACCCCCTGCTCCCATGGCTCCCGGCAGCTCAGCCCAAGATGGGGTTCAGGGGGATGTCATGGCCACCAGGGGCTGCCCCACTTCCCCACATGTGAGGCTGCCTCCGTGCACCCCTATGGACCCATAATCCACTCCAGGATCACTTTTAGGCCTGAGCTGCCCCAGCCCCGCTGCATGCCTGAGGCCTCACCTCCCAGCCCCTGACCATCCTATTCGGGGGGGTGGACTCAGCTCAGCCAATGGCTGTGGGTGATCTGCAGCCTCTACACAGGACACCGCAGGCCTGGCCCAGAGGAACCAGGGAGGTGGGGCACCTGAGGCCACCCAAGGCTCTCCTGAGGGTGAGATCCTAGGGCCAGTGTCTGGGGAGGTAGGCGGTGAGCAGGACCAGGACAGGCCCTGGGACAGGGGCAAGTGAGCAGGGACAGGAGACCTGCAGCCCTGTTAGGAACCCAGCCAGCCAGCAGAGTGAAAAAGACACTTGTATTTGATTTACAATAAACAAGATTTACAAAAGGGGTGGGGGTGTCCTGGCCGAGCTCCTCCTGGCCCCCCAGACCGGACAGAGCCTCCAGGACAGCCTGTCTGACAGGCCGAGGCCAGGACCCCCGGTCTGCTGGGTCTCCTCTGGCTGCCTGGGCCTCGACGTCTGACATCCAGCGTGACCTTTGAGGTGAGGCCCGGAGCGCAGTCTGCCCAATGTGCTGGTGCCCCGCGGAGCGGGCCAGGTGAGGTCAGGAAGGCATCGTACCACTATTCTCCTCTGTCAGGCAGGCAGTCTGGGCCCGAGGCCCTGGGGGCTGCAGGCACTCAGACCCCACCCAAAGAGGCCAAACCCACACCGGGCGGCTGCTGGTGCTCAGGAAGGGGGGGCTGAGGCCCGACTGCCCCTAGCGACACCGGGTGGCGCCGGGGGCGAAAGGCACGTTTACAAATAGCTCAGGGGACTCCACTCGGAGACAATGCCCGATGCTGGTTCTTCAGGAGGGGCTGGTGCTGGAGGGCGCCAGGCACTATTGCTCAGGAGAAAGACGCTATGTGGCTACCAACACTGAGGTGGGGTCCCCGCTGCACCCACACTCGCACTCCCCGGAGGGCTCTTCCTCTGCCGGCGGGAGAGAAGGGCTGTGCCCACCACCTCGGACTCCTTACCCAGGGGCTGCCCAATGCCGGCACTGGGCGTCACACACCTGTGCCACCAGACTATGGTGGCGGAGACCGGAGGTCAGAGGTCTGTGACCTTGTTCTCGAGTGCAGCGGCGATCTGCTGTAGGCGGAAAGCCAGCTGCATCTTCTGGGCAGCAGGGTCCTCCTCCAGGGCGTTGATGATCTGAGTGGGGGCGGGTCACGTCAGACCACAGGCGAGGAGAGGGCTGCCCAGGCGCTGCCACCCCGGGAGGGCAGGGCCTCCTACCTCGTCATAGTATTTCTGTGTGTACTGGTAGAGCTGGTGCAGGGCCACAAGGGTGTTCAGGGAGTCCGTGTGCGCCTGGGGAAGGAGGGCTGTGTGACCCAGGGCAGGGGAGGGCAGGAAGCTGTCCCCCCGCGGAGCAGGCAGTGGACTGTGACGTGGGCACAGGCAGACACTAAGGGTCACAGCCTCACAGCCCTCAGGTACACGGGGCAACCACCAACAGACTCCCCCGTCCACGCAGACGTGGCAGACGTGGCGGGCTCAGAGCTGACACAACCCCCAGCGCACGCGTGGATGGTCGCACACAGGAGCCAAACCAACTGGCCTCACCCTCTGCCTCTGTCCTGGGCGCGCAACACACCTCACCCTGCACTGCAGTCTGCAGCCCCAGGGAGGAAGGGTCCTTGGGTGCATGTCTGAGACCCCTTACCCGGGAAATCTCTGCCAAGTGTGTGTTCATGTCCTGGTCGCTGACTTGCACCATCTGTCTGATCCCCTTATAGTAACTGTGGGAAAGGGAGGGGCGCAGTCAGTGGATCCCGAAGCTGCCCACCAGGGTGCTCCTTCCAAGGGCCCCGCCAGGTAGGGGTGGAGGGTGGGGGTCACTCACTCCTCCACCATCTTCTTGTAGGTAGAGATCTCCTTGGCATAGAGCAGCTTGTTGCTGGGAGAGTCCTGTGGGGTCAGAGCAAAGTGATGCCCAGGCCAAGGTGGGCTGGCCGGTGTCCCCGCCCGCAGGCCCCGAGGCAGCCAGGCTCCGTCTGCTCAGGAAAAGGAGGGGCAGTACCCCTGCCCAGCTAGACCTGACCGTGCTGACATCGGTTTGTAATTTGTAGTAAAACTTACTTTCCCCGCCCGCGTAAGGAAAGGGTCCCCGGGGGGAGGGGAGGACAGGGGTGCCAGGCCGTCACGAAAGACGTCACCCGGGGACCTTCCAGGCTCTGCCCCCCACACCCCGTTACCCTGCACCAGTCTTCTCCTGAGCTCCAAGTTCCAAATGTGCAAATCCGCACCCCAGACGGACCCCCTGGCAGGTCCTGCCACGGCCACGGCCACGGCTTCCCCGTGGACACCGCCCTGTCCGGGACCTTCAGGCCTCCCGGGTGAGGCCCCGACTCCCCTGCCCCCGCCAGAGCCGCCGCGGGGCCACTCACGCGGCTCAGCTTGTGCTCCGTGCGCGTGCAGGCATCCATGAAGGTCTGCGCGATGACNGCTCACCTCCTCCAAGTCTGAGCTCACTCCAACCAGGAGCCCGGGGATCCCCCATGACCCCTCCATCTTCTTCATCCCCTACATCCAGCCCACAGTGTCTGCCTGCCCTGTACCCTCTTGTCCACCTTGAACCTGGCCACTACTCATCCCAAGGACAGCCCAGCTTCCTCTGTGGACTTCAGGCTCCAGTCCACCCACTACACAACTGCCAGAAGGCTCCGCCTAACTCAAGTCTGACATCCACCCACCCCATCCCGTTTCTAGACCTCCAGTGGCTTCCATCACCCCCAGGGTAAGCCCTCACCTAGTGGTCCTGGCCTCCTGCCAACCCCACAGGCTGCACTGGCGGCCACGTCTTAACCCTGTGAATCAACGCCAGCACCTGCCCTTGCTCTGCTTGAAGGATGAGGCACCGCCACCTCCTAGGGAGCCAGGGACAAAGCCTGGCCTGGGGCCTGGAGGCACAGACCTGCCATAGCCCTCCTCCTTGACATTCTTGGGACAGCCTGGAATCTGTGTGTATTATAGCACCGCCCACCCCTGGACCACTCTGCCCTGCCCCACCCATGACCTCCATGTCCCCCAACCCCAGCCCGGCCCACTCACCCGGCCCAGCTTGTGGTCCGCCAGGGTGCAGGCGTCCATGAAGGTCTGCGCGATGACCAGCAGCACCGCGTCCATGTTATCAGACGTCTGCACGTCGAACACAAACTGCGGGTTTTTTATTATGTTGATCCAGAACCTCAGCGGCAAGCTGCGGGCGGGGCGGGCAGGGCCGTGAGCGAGCTGCAGAGGCAGGAGAGGCCCTGCGCACCCGGCCTGCGGGCCCCACTCCCACCTGTTGGTCTTCCAGATATGGACGGTGTCCTGGTCAGAGATGCCATGCTGCTGGGCCTGCTCATCCAGCAGGTCAAAGAAGTACTTCACAGCGAGGGGCACGGGGTGACTGGTGCTGAGAATCACCTGGAACAGGTCGTCCACAAACTTCTGCAGGGTGCCCTGCAGGGGGTGGGAAGCACAGGTGTGGTCAGCAAGGGGACCGGGACCTCAGCCCCAGACACATGGCACTAGTCCTGTGTGAGCCCCACACCACCCCCAATTCCCACAAGTGGATGTTGTTGCCCCAGCCCAGACCCCACCCACCTTCATGGACAGCAGGCGGGTCAGGTAGATCTCGGTGATGGCCTTGGTGCGCTCCTTCTCCTTCACGCTGCCCCGCTTGGACTTGCCCTCCTCCACCTCGTCCGCCGGCCGCACCAGGTGCCACACGCGGTTCTCATCCTCCAGGAGGGCATGGCCTGGGGGGCGGGCGCACAGAGGGGTGACGCCGGAGCACGGGGCCAGGTATCCCTCTGGGCTCGGCAGCCCCCGATGCCGCCACGGAGTGGACACGGGTCCACGCTGACCTCCAGGGGCCAGAACGGGGCAGGCAAGCGGGCCCAGCCGGCGTGGCTCGGCGGCGGAGCACCGGCCCGTGAACCAGGAGGTCGTGGTGTGATTCCCGGTCAGGGCACACGGCCCAGGTTCCAGGCTCGATCCCCAGTTAAAACAAAAACCACAAAACAAGACCAAAAAAACAAACAAACAGGCCAGGGGAAGGAACTCACGCTCCCCGGGCAGGTCCTGCTGGCTGTCCTCGGGCTGCTGGGAGACGCCCACCTTGGACAGGATGAGAGTGGCTCCGTCCCGGACCTGGGGAACGTGGTCGTGAGGAGAGGCCTCTCTCGCTGAGCCCCCCGCCTGCGGGAAGGTGACCCCGAGCCGCCGGCACTCACGTTGTAGTGCATGAGGGTGTTGATGCGTTTCCACCGGCCCTCCCGCTGGGACGTCAGGTCCAGGTCCGACAGGATCTGGGCTGTGGACCCCGGACGCCACTCTGGGGGACGACACAGCCCGGCTCCTGAGACCCAGACGTGGGCCACCCCGCAGGGCTCCCTCTGCTGCCCCCCCACCCGCCTGTCCAACCGGGGCCGGAGAGCGGGCACACGGGGCCCACACTCACCGAGGACCACGCTGTCCACCTTGGGCCAGCGGGAGCAAGGCTGTGTGCGGTACACCTGGTCGATGATCTTTTCCTTGACCTGGGAGATCGTGTCACAGTTGAGGACCTTGACGGGGACAGCGTCAATCCCTTCGTCCTGGACGATCACACTCACTGTCTGCGGGGGGGACGGGGGGGACGGGGGGGACACGGACACATGAGATGAAGGGCCAGTGAGCCGGTCTGCAGCCCCGGCCACACCCAGGCCCGGCCTCGCCTCCCCTGGCTCAGCAGGACAGAGCAGAGGAGCACAGGGAGCCCACGCCCCGCGGGCACAGTGGGAGTGCACACAAGCTTGCCACCAGAGACTCGGGGTGCTCAGGCCCCATACACGCTGACAGCAGGCCTGGGGTCACTGCTCTTAGAGCGTCTCTCCAGCCCTGGCCGGTGTTGCTCGGTGGTTAGAGCGTCGGCCCTCGCACCGAAAGGCCATGGGTTTGATTCCCAGTCAAGGGCACGTGCCTGTGCTGTAGGTTTGATCCCCAGCCCTGGTTGGGCACGTGGGGGAGACACCCCATCAATGTCTCTCTCTCACATCATCTGTGCTTCCTCCCTCCCTCCCTTCCACATTTCCATTCTCTCTAAAAATCAGTGTGGACGCCCGGCCGGGCGTGGCTCAGCGGTTGAGCGTCGACCTAGGATCTAGGAGACTGGGGATCGATTCCCGGTCAGGGCACATGCCCGGGTTGCGGGCTAGGCAGCCGATCAGTGACTCTCATCACTGATGTTTCTCTCTCTCTCTCTCTCTCCTTTCCTCTCTCTGAAATCAATAAAGATATATTTAAAATAAATAAATAAAAATAAATAAAAATCAGTGTGGAAGAGAGGAAAGGATTACAAAACCAAAAGAAAACAACAACAACAAAAAAATCATGTCTCTACAGCACAGGGAGGAGAACAGCTCCCAGCACCCAGCTCCCAGCACCTAGCACCCAGCTCCCAGCACCCAGCACCTAGCACCCAGCTCCCAGCACCCAGCTCCCAGCACCTAGCACCCAGCACCCAGCTCCCAGTACCCAGCTCCCAGCACCCAGCACCCAGCACCCAGCTCCCAGCTCCCAGCTCCCAGCTCCCAGCTCCCAGCTCCCAGCTGCGGTCCTGGGACCGGCCCGGGGCCCCTCCCCCAGCACGAAGCAGGCCAGGGCTCACCAGGGGCGCGTATTCCACGTCGTCCCCCAGCAGCCCCGTGTCGTTGAGGGTGTACTTGGCCTTCTTCTGCACGGCGTCCACCGGGCCCTTCTCCACTTGGTGCTTGATGGCCTTGAAGAGCTTGTAGAGCGGCTCGCCGGCGCTGTCCTGCAGGGGCCAGGGCAGGCTCAGCCTCGGCTCGGGAGGGCTGCCGCCGGGGCAGGCGCGTGTTTGGGGCCCAGCCCCACCTCGCCCCACCCCCGGCCGCTGCGTGCAGCCCACCTTCAGGTACTGGTACAGGCAGATAGACATCCAGTTGGACAGCATCCTCTCCACCACCGTCTCGGACCTGGGGGTGCAGGAAGGCCTTGTACCAAGGGACCCCAAGGTGGCCCCACACCCAGCTGGCTCTCCAGGTACCCAGGACGGCCTCCCCAGCCATCCCCGTCAGGATGCCCATGTCCAGCCTGCAGCGAGCAAGTGTCCGGCCCCCTCGAGGGTGGATGGATAACCCCATCCTACAGAGGACCGACGCTGGGGGGAGCAGCGAGGTGACCAGCAGGCACCAATGCTGCCAGGGATGCCACCCCACCATCCCTCCTCCCTACTCCTGTGGCTGCTCCTGCCAGCCAACCAAGTGCCTGGGTGACCCCGCGAGGCCAGCACCTCTGCCCCCATGCCCCGCCCCAGCCCCCACACACCTGCGCAGCATCAGCTTGGGGTTCTTGGCTACCACATACTGCTCCATGAGCTCCAGGAAGAGCGTGCGCATGATGTCGGTGTAATATTCCAGCTTCCCGTGCAGGGCCACCGTCAGCAGAGACGCGAAGTAGACCTTGGCGCGGGCCGAGAACTCCCGCTGGTTCTCCAGGGTGTGGATGAACTGTGGGGGCGGCGGGTCAGAGCCTGCCGGCCGGCCCCTCGCACCCAGCACCCCCGCCCGCGGCCCTGCCCGCCCGCCGGCTCACGTTGATGAGGAAGGACTTGCTGTTGAGCAGGTTGGAGAACTGGTAGAGCGCCTGCTCCACCACGGGCCGCCGGGACTCGGGGATGTCCAGCTTGCCCGTGATCATCACGTCCTTGTCGCCGTCCTTGGAGGGCAGGAAGAAGACGCGGTCGGTGTACGTCTTGTAGTCCAGCACGGGGATGCCGGTCTCGTTCACATCGTTCGTCTGGTCCTCCATCTCGATCATCAGGTCTGGGGGGACAGCACCGCTGGCACCCGCCCTCTCCCGCCGCGTGCAAGGCCCTCCCTCGGCCGCCCCCCTCCCCGCGGGCCCCCCCAGCCGCCGCACCCGTGAACTCCTTCTTGCACCGGTCACGCACGCTCTCCTCCAGGCCCTCCAGCTGCAGCTTGATCTTCTCATACTCGCGCTCGGCCTGCTGGCTCTTCTTCCTGCGCACGGAGAGGCTGCTGGGTGCCGGCCTGCGCGCCCGCTGCAGGCCGCCCAGCGGGCGTGGAATGGGCTGCGGGCGGGGGGCTCACCAGTAGCAGTAGACGGACAGGGCGATGGCGCCCACCATGGGCAGGATGACCAGCGGGAGGATGAGGCTGAGCGGCACCTCGCTCGCTCGGCTATCGTACTCCACACGGCCCAGCACCCACTCCCGGGAGCCGAACTTCACCTGTGCGGGGGGCAGGGCACAGCGGGGACCAGCCGGGCTAAGAGGGGTGCCCGGGTCACACGGCGCGGCTTGGAGCTCCGCCCCGCCGCCCGGCCCTGCCCCGCACGCCCGAGGAACTCACAATGAACTCGGGCAGGTTGAGGGTGGTGTCTCGCTTCTGCCGCCGCTTGGGGGGCGGCTGCACCTCCGGGGGCTCGCAGTACAGGTCAGTCTCGGTCAGCGTCTTCATGACGCAGCGCTCGGCGCCCACGAAGGCCTCAGCCTCGTGCAGTGTCATCGCCTTGTTCAGGTTGGTGCCCTG